CATGTGTATGTACTCACAGGCTCTTCTAAAGGAGAGGATGCAAGTGCCTCTATTTCTATGACTTTTTAAAAAAACTTATTTTCATTTTATGTGTATGAGTGTTTTGCCTGCATGTAAGTGTACCCATGTCATGCAGTGCTCACAGATGCCAGAAGAAGGCGACAGGTCCCATGGAACTGGAGTTACAGGTGGCTGTTAGCTACCATATGAGTGCTGGGAATGGGACTGGGTCCTTTGCAAGAGCAGCCAGTGTTCTTAACTGCAGAGCCATCTCTCTAGCCCCCTTCTATGGCTTTTCTTATGTTCTTAAACAAGCATCTTCTGAGCATAAGGCATTAGATGATAATGCTCCATCCTAACCCTGAATCACTGACTTTGAAGTTACACATGAAAGAAAACAATCTGGAGTTCCCCATTTTAAAACCATCTGAAGGTAAATAGAGTTCTGAAGAAAAAGCCTGAATTAAATTTTAAAAAAATTATTTTGGAATCAGATCCCCTGGAACTGGAGTTACAGAAGGTTGTTAGCCACTATGTGGGTGCTAGGGACCAAACCTGGGTCCTCTGCAAGAGCAGACAGTGCTCTTTAATCACTGGGCCATCTCTCTAGCCCTGAAAAAGCCTGGATTTAAGCAGCTGCCTCCCCACCTCCACATAGCTTTAATCCCAGCACTTGGGAAGCAGAGGCAGGCGGATCTCTGGAGTTTGAGGCCAGCCTGGCCAGCCTGGTCTACATAGCGAGTTCCAAGCCACCTGGGGATACAGGGGACTCTATCTCAAAAAGACCAAAAAACAAAAATAAAAAAATTAAAAAAGAGCTTCTTTTGTCTAAAACTCGAGTTTAAAAAAAACTCAAAATCATCTTTTTAGTTTTTTTCTGGTCTTTTTGAAACAGGGTCTCCTTTGTAGCCCCAACTGACCTGGAACTTTATATGGAAACCAGGCTGGCCTTGAACTCACAGAGGTCCACCTGCCTCGTGCCTCTGCCTCCCGAGTGCTGGGATTAAAGGCGTGCACCATCAAGCAGGGCTACTTAAGCAACTTTTATTGCACCTGTAAATGGGAAAGCCCCCTGCAGGAGACCCTCCACCCCCAAGTCCACTTGAGTGGAACCTCACAGAGCTTCACTGAGCACAGGTGACCACCAGCACAACCTATGTGAGGGACCACTCATGACAAGCAAGGACAAGTCGGACAGTTGCACACTCTTCACACCCAAGGTGTGCTGTGTTACGGTCCCCTCCTTTAGAAATAAACTACTGGTTAAGGGCTGGTGAGATGGCTCAAAGGGTTAAGGCACTTGCCATAAAGCCTGAGGACCTGAGTTCAGTCTCCTGGCCTTGTATGGTGGAACTGACTCCCATATATTGTCCCCTGACTTCCACACCAGCACTGTGGCAACCCACACAAAATAAAGAAATAATATACATAAAACAAAAAAAACTTTACTAGTTAAAACAGTTCCCTCCCCAGAACAAAGCCAAACCCCAACTTCTTTTGAAGTTTAATGAGTTCTGCAGCTTTGCTGTTTGTGTAAACATTTCAAAGCACCAATGTTCACCTTCCTCAGAAACAGGAAGAGCTTTTAGGAAGTTCAGCTTGCCACCAAGTGCTGCCTCAGAGCCCTGGGGCCCAGCACTGGAGCAGAAAAGTTTGCCCTTTTAAAATCAGCAACTGATTTTAAAATTGATATGTTACAGGAAATTATTTTAAATCAAAAGCCTGTCTTTTGACTCTGCCACTCTCAACTTGGCTGGGAATGATTTGCCAAAAATAAAACAAGGTGAAACCGAACTGAAACCCTGCAGCTAGAACTGATCCAGTTAACCTGGAAATCGTATGCCATTCCCATCTCCACCCCCTCTGGCTTTCACTTGGCCGCCCTCCCCAACCCTTTACTCTTAAAGATTCTTTCCAGTAAGCTAAATTAACAAATGACGGCTGACATCAGAATGTGGCCCTCAGCGTACCCAATACTTAGTTCCTTTGGAGAGGGTGAAGCTTGTCTGGCCGGTGCTGAGTGATGCAACCCTTTCTGAACTCGGGGACTTGCCCTTCTCCTTCCTGGTGGCTCCAGGGAATTGTCTGACCAACCTGGAGGGGAACTTGGGGCCTGGTTCCCTGCCCTGACCATTCCTCTCACACAGCAGAAATCTAAATGGAAACCAGAGGTGAAGGAGGTTTGTTCCCGAATATGCAGTTTAACTGATCACCGACCTTGAATGTCTGTTTCCTCATCTGCAAAGCGCAGATATTCATATGACCTACCTCACTGTGGAATAGAGGAGTCACTACACTAAACTTCTTGAACAATGCCTGGCCCCTAGTTAGCGCCTTGTTGATAATGTCAGGTGTAACAGACTTGCTCTTTCAGTGAAACAAAACTCCAAACTGGGATCACCTGACAATGCCCAAATGCAGCGTTTGTACATCTGAACCATACTAAAGAAAAACAAAACAAAATCCAGGATTCAGAATTCTTACTATACACTCACCAACACTGTGCTGTGACCCCCAAAGATGAGAGAACTTCTCCCTACCATCAAGCAAGCAATTCCACAGTGGACCCCAGAAAGACAGCCTCTAATTCCATCCTAAAGACTGACTGCACACCAGACACTACTGCCAGCTGGCTATAAATCTCTGTTCTCAACCATCCCTCTGGGGACAATTCATTAGAAAAGCTCAGAGAAGTCAGGGAAATTACCTACTTGTGTTTACTGGTTTGATACAATGGATACAGATGAAGAGATGCATAGAGCAAGACACCACTCTCCAGAAAGCTCTGGGTTCAGCTGTCTGGAAACTCTGAACCCAGGGGGTAGGGGGTATTAAGGGGGAGGAAGACTTCACTCACTACATAAGCATGAAGTGAAATATGGGCACACATGTTGGGATTGATCTAATAACACAAATACAGGCTGAATGGGGAAACATCTAACAATCTGTTCAGACTTCTCTTGGCCTCTCCATGCAGCTTGTCTTTCTTGTAGATAGTAAGCAGAATCCCTCCTGAAAAGGGAGTCCTATGCTCTACATCAGACAAGACTTTTTTATTTTTATTATTAGGACTATTTTGACATAGCTCTGTTAATAGAACTCAGCCCAAGTTAAGATTTTTTTTTGGCCAGGCATGGTGGTACCCACCTTTAATTCCAGCACTCAGGAGGCAAAAGGAGTTTGAGGCCAGCCTAGTCTACATAGTTAAGTTCCAGGCCAGCCAAGGCTATATAGTGAGACCTCCCATCTCAAAAAAAGGATTTTAAAAATTATTTATTTCCAATTATGCATGTGTCTGTGTGTATGTGGACATGTACAGAAGTCTGCAGAGCCCAAAGGTATTGGATTCTGTGGAGCTGGAGTTACATACATGTGGTTGTGAGCCTCCAAAGTGGGTGCTGGGAACTGAACTCAGGTCCTCTGTAAGAGGACTAGCCCTAAGATTTATTTTTAATACTTTATTATTTTTATTTTATGTGTATGAGTGTATTGCTTGCATGTATGTAAGTGCACCCATGTTGTGCAATGCCTGCGGAGATCAAAAGAGGGCATTGGATCCCCTAGAACTAGAGCTATGGATGTTGTTAGCTGCCACATGAGGGCTAGGAATCAAATCCGGTCTTCTGTTAAGAGCAGCCAGTTTCTTAACCACTGAGTCATCTTTCTAGCCCTCGATTTGTTTTTTTTTTATTTCTAATTGTGTGTGTGTGTGTGTGTGTGTGTATGTGTGTGTATCTGTGTGTGTCTGTGTGTTAGTGCAGGTGCTCTTGGAGGGCCAAAGGTGTGGGATGCCCCTAGAGCTGGAGTTACAGGTGGTTGTCAAGCCACCCAACCTGGGTGCTGGGAAACAAACTTGGGTCCTCTGCAAGGGTAGTATGTGCTCTTAACCAACAAGCCAGCTCTGTGGCCCCCAAGATAAATTCTTTATGGCTGACTCCAAGCAGAAAGGGAAAGATTTTCTATGACCTGCCTTAAAGGAAGAGAAATTCTCATATATGGCATGCCTCAGGGAGAGAATAATGAGCCAGGAGCCTTGGGAAAATGTGTGTGTGTGGTAACCCAAAAGCTTTAAGAATTTAAAACATAAGAAAATTTATTTAAGAGTTATCAACTGACAAGTTCTATAAAGAAGCCTAGGACAGGAAGCTAATTTCCCACAAGGAGCAAAAATTCCCATCCCCATCTAGACCCTTCTAGAAAGACTGTTTGGTAAAAAAGAGAACTATCCAGAGCCATGGTTTTCTCTCTTTTAAAGCAGTCTGTTCCCACAGCCTGCCTCCTGTTTCAACAATGCCTCTAGGGGGCAGCAGAGCAATGAAAACACTTCCTGCAGCTGGTGGGGAGACAATACCTGAAGGGTATAGACACCACTGGATCCAAACAAGCCTCTCCATCCCATTTGTTCAAAGTGGCCACAGTGTCCAAAGATCACAACATTCCCTGATGTAGAAAGTGGTCTGTTTCAAGGATAAGAAACCTCAGGGCAAGAACAGCTGGGAAGGAATCTCTAAGAACCCACACTGTTCTATGGTAGTGGTGACAGGGTGTCCATGTCACAGAAGTCCTTCAGTGTTTGCAAGCTTTCTACAGTTGTGTTGTCAATGTACACGTAGTTCACAAGGAAAACAATTTTAAAGTAAACTATAAATGTACAGGAGGCAGACACATAGCCAGAATAAGGAAAAGAAAACTGGCATTTGGAGGACAATGTACCCCTCCCCCCAAACCCTGAAACATTGAATTTCAGTATGTATCTTTGTGTACCCGCAAAGTTGGCAAGGTGGCACTTGCCTTTAATCCCATCGCTTGGAAAGCAGAGGCAAGTGGATCTCTGTGAGACTGAGGCCAGCCTGGTCTATGTAGCAAGTTCCAGGCCTGCTAGGGCTACAGGGAAACCCTCCTGACTGAAACAAATAAGCAAACAACAATAACAAAGATGAATCCCCATAACTGACTTAAAAAAAAAAATGCAGCATGTTATAAATAAAAACATACAAATATCAACTAACAACTTCAATTTTTAATAATGGAAGCAATTTTGCCATTCCAGAAACAATTTCAGGGGAGAAAAATCTTCCCAATAAAAATAAAACTTAAACTCATCCATATTATAAATAAAACTTTTTACTTCTAGATCTAAAATTCTTCCTACAACACCACCCTTCATTTAACACCATCCTGTACCATCACATTTTGAAGAGAAAACAGTATTACAGCAAAGCTTAGTTTCATTTTACATAAGGATTTGTACAATGGTTTCTCTTTTAATCTTTGGCCTCTGTGGCCCCTTTTTCTTTTACACATTAAAAATGCTGCCTCAGTAACCAGTGTTTGAGAGAGAACATCAGTCTTTGGGAGCCATAAACTGACAGGTCTTCGATACAGTAAAGTTTTCCAAATCAACCTGTAGTGCACATGACAGCGAGTGAGGTTCTGGATGAACAGATGAGGATGCCTGCTTCAAACAATCTACTTCAAGTAAAAAAAAAAAAAAATTTCACAGCTACCCATTGGCTGCTACTTTAGGTTCTAACAGTGTCATAATCTGAGAAACAAATGCTTCACAAACTCTAAGTTTACTGGGATGAGTAATTAAAAGACCAGGTGGTTGATAACAGTATACTCAAACCCAAGCCACAGTCTGAACAGCAAAACCAGAACAAAACCATGAAGGCATTCCCTGAACAATAAAGGCTAAGTGTTGGGTGACAACATCACTGAAACCTCATCAATGCACTACAAAGATATTACATGCAAAATTAAACAAGATGTGCCACACATACATATTTTATAGCAAGTTCTACTTTTATTTTTCTTCAACTTTCCTTAAAAGCTTGGGAGATGTGATCCTCTCACTAGCTTGTATTACATAACTGACACTTCAGCCTGCCTCCCACAGGATGAGTCTCTGAAAAGTCAGAAGAGCCACCAAAAGGGAACAGACAGGCAATCAAAGGCACGGTTCATAGCAAGGCAAAGAACTGAAGCACCTTGGAATTTCAAAAAGAATCCATGAGGTGTCACCAAGTGTTAACAATTCCCTGGGAATTCATAAACAACAACAAAATATATCTAGACTAGAAACTGACTGACTGTAAGGCCCCTCTGGAACCACAGCACAACCTTCTGTTCTCAGACTTGTGACCTGCTGCAGAAAATGAGGTTACTGAGCCTATTTTAAGGGAGGCTTCTATTGCACATGCATCTTTGGTTAGAAGGAACACACACTTTTGTTAAAATAGTTCCATAATGAACACCTGTTGTGTGGTCAGCCGGGTGTGGACTTTCCTCCTTCCTTGGGGCCTTCTCAGTCAAGTCTCTTAGAAGTGAGGATGTGGTAGGATTGTGTCTTTAATCAACATCCTTGTTCTCTACTTCTGAGAACAGACCTTAGCTTAGGAGAGGGAACAGGGAAAGGAAGGGAAGGGAGATGGGAAGGAAGCCCCTCTAGTGTCCCCAAAAGAGGGAAGACAAGGAAAAAGAAGGGTAGAATAAAAGGGAAGGGAGTGATTGTCACAAAGTTTGCTGTGAACCCTTGACTTCATACATCTCCTAGCTAACAACTGAGGGAAAAACAGCTTCCCTTACTCAAAACTCCTTTTCAACTCTGAAAACCACCTCTGAGGGAAAAAGATGACATGCGACTTAAGAGGAATCAGCAAATGGTCAGGCTCCACCAACATAAAGAAGGTCCTCCAAGAAGACTGTCCACTCCAGATGGGCAGAGTTGGGGACCTGATGCACATAGGGGTCAGGCAGCTCTGGCCCACCTCCATCAAAGTTTAAGATCCACTTCAAGTTAGCTGCAGAGTCCACTGATCCCTCCTTTGGGCTTAGCTTCTCTCTCTTTGGCTCTGACCCCATGTTTTACCCACTAGCGAATCATGCAATCCTAAAATGGTTCAACATCAATACTGAATGCTTTCAACTCGTTTACAAGCAGATTCACCTTTCTCCTCTATCACCAACTCACAAGTCATACCACCTTCCCGAGCCCTGGGCTCTCACCTCCCCACTGACCTTTTTCCAAACTTGCTTTTTACTTTCTTTTTCAAAACTCTTACAAAATCCTTCCCACATCCCCCAGAGTTCCTAAATTCCTATGCCTTTGCATGCACATGGATAGATTCTCCGACAGAAAACAAAAACCAGACAGGCAGTTCCAATGTAGGACAAGTATCCAGAGATTCTTCAGTAAGCTTTGAAAAACTGGTTTGCACATCCTGATGCTTAACATCATCACATAATTAAAATAACTAGAAGAAAATAAGGAAAGTTCATGCTTCCAAGCACTCTAGAATGCTCCTGATGACCACAGGTTCACAGTTTGCAAGAGGTAATGCCGCCATGCTCTAACAGAACAAGCTTGCAGAGTCCCTCACACCATGAGGTGCAGGATGCTGCGTGACCAGGCTTTGAGAACTACATCTAGAGAGAAAAGGGGAAGACCCCAGCATCACAGGGCATGGAAACGGCTCTCTGAGAAGAGAGGCAGGTGTTGCTCTTTTGTTCATGTCCTGAGCCTTGCCTTCCTGGCAGGGAGCCCTGGTTAGCCAGGCTTCCCCTCGCTGAGGGCTTCCTCTAACTTCTGTCTGTAGGCTGAATAGCGCCTCTTCAGGCTCTGCAGCTGTTCATCTTCTTCCTTGTCCAAGATGCGCAAGAAGTTCTGTAGTTCCGGAAGACTGAAAGCTTCCCACTGTAAGAGATACCAGACAGATGTCAAAGTTCAACTCAGAGTCAAAATAGGAATTGCTTCATTTCCTTCTTTTCTTTCCTTCTGAGTCAAGGTTTTGTTATGTAGCATGGTCTAACCTCAAACTCACGATCCTCCTGCCTCAGCCTCCAGAGTGCTGGGATTATAAGGTATGATGCCAAACCCTGAAGGAACACTGACTGACAGATGGAGGCATGGCTGCCCTCTGCTCACGCCTAACTCCAGAACAGAGAGCCATGGTCAGCAATTACCAGGAGCACCAACTCATGGCTCCCTCTCCCTCCTCAACTAACTCAACTGCACTCTGCTCCCTGGTCTATTCTCCAAAATGACTCCTTCTAGGGTGAAGATGGCCACATCCTCACCTCCCTTAGGTCTTTTCCTTGTTCCTCATCTAATCTAAGCCCCCAGAGGCATAAAAAACAACTCCAAGCCAGCCGTGATTCCTCATACCTGCAATCCCAGCACTTGGAGGAAAAGGCAGGAGATGCAAAAATTTAAGGCTAGCTTTAGCTACAAAGCAAGTTGGAGCCAGCCAGGACTACATGAGACCCTGCCCTCCCAGGCCCATTTCTGACTTGGAGCCTTGCTCAGCACCCCAGCTGGCTTGGCACACATTCTCCTCTGCTTCGCTTTGCCTGGCAACCTCCAGCTTTCCCTTCAGATCTCTAAGGAGGCTTCCAGGACATCTCCCCCTCCCTTCCCATGCTGGGCTGGGTTTATTAAAAGCTCTTACTGAGCCAGTCAGAAGCCCTGCACACAGTTAAGATTTTAAATGATTGATACTATTTGTTTAGCATCCACCTCACCCGCACCTGACTTGCAACAGCAGCTGGGTGCTTCTCACTATTTGTGATTTGCCTCGTCCTTGGGGCAGAGTTCTAGTTCCCTAACAGCACCTCCTACACAGCAGGTACAAAATATATTTTTCAAAAAGAACATTTTTGGGCTGGCGAGATGGATCAGCAGATAGACACTTGTTGCCAAGCCTGACGACCTGAGTTGCAATCTGGGCCCCACAAAATAGGAGAGAACTGACTCCTAAAAGTTGTCCTCTTACGTCCACACATGCACCACGGCATGCTCCCTACCCCAAATTAATAAAATGTCATCGAAATTTCTTTTTAAAGCAACGAATGTCAAGGAGATTGCTGTGTAAGTTGAGTTCCAACCCTGGGACCACATAAAGGTGGAAGAAAATCAACTCCATCAAGCTGCCTTCTGACTTCCATAGGTATGTGTGGCATGTAGGCTCATCAGACATGTACATGCACAACAATAGTAATAATAATACAATTTTAAAGTATTTAAAATGCATTTTTAGGGCTGGAGAGATGGCTCAGTGGTTAAGTGCACTGGCTGCTCTTGCAGAGGACCCAGGTTTGATTCCCATCATCCACATGGCAGCTAACAACCATCTAAACTCCAGTTCCAGAGGATCCAATGCCCTCTTCCAGCCTCTGCGGGCATTGTACAACATGACTACACCTACTCACATGCAGGCAATATATTCATACACATAAAATAAAAATAAACATCTGGGCGTGGTGGTGCATGCCTTTAATCCCAACACTCAGGAGGCAGAGGCAGGAGGATCTCTGTGAGATCTAGGACAACCTGGTCTACATAGTGAGTTCCAGGCCAGCTGGGGCTACAGGGAGACCCTGTCTCAAAAAGATAGAAAAAAAAAAGTCCCACTTCACAGAGTTTTTGAATGGAGGGCGCGAAATTAGAAGATTCATCCACAGTTGTGTTCCCTACCTAGTCAACAATCCTGGGCTCCTGACTTTAACCCAGCAAGCCTGTCCTCTCTCCTGACTTTAACCCGGCAAGCCTGTCCTCTCTCCTGACTTTAACCTGGCAAGCCTGTCCTCTCTCCTGACTTTAACCCGGCAAACCTGTCCTCTCTCCTGACTTTAACCCGGCAAGCCTGTCCTCTCTCCTGACTTTAACCCGGCAAGCCTGTCCTCTCAGCTTCATGAAATGTTCCACAGGATACATTACACTTTTGAAGTCTAAGACACTGAGCTTGAGAGATTTGCTCAAGGATTATTTAAAGCTGACAGTTGATCTATAGGTCAGTCCAAAGTGGTTTTGCTTCAACTGGAGAGAAAATGCATAATGATGTATATGCAAACAGAGCTTCTCAATCACGTGACTGGTTGAAGAAGAAAGGGATTCTAGAACGGTAAATGTCTTTCATTGTAATGAGGTCGGGTTTCCTTTCATTTTCCTTTAGAAGGAAACTGGCCTGGAGACTTCTCTTAGTAGCAGACATATGGGGAGTGTATCAGCTTTCAATTCAGCTGGATTACAGTCATTTGGAGATGGGAAGAGGTAAAAAGTTTTCTGTGTGGGGATAAGTAAAAAATTATTTCCTCCCACCCCTGAAGAGCTCAGAGCAATATAACATTGTTACAGAATTGTATAGCAGACTAACTTGGAGTTCATTTCTGGTGATTCAAAATCTCTGTCCTCTTCCTGTTTCCTTTCCCTCCCCCCTCTCCCTGCAACTCTAGACTAGAGCAATAAAGCAGGCCAGCTGTTCTGTATAGTTTGATGCCATAATGAACAATTACTTACCTCTCCAATTTCATGTTCACGAAGAACAAAACTAAGTGTGTCCGTTCTGGGCCCTGCAACCAAACGCAGGTAGAGTGGGTGTTCCCGTTCTGAGAGCTTACAGGCATACACTGGGAAGGAGACAAATAGCATGTTACAGAAGATGTCAGCTTTTCTGAGACTGGTTTCCTCATCCTTCACCTTCCATCACAGTAACAGTCCACATTTCCCTAGCCTCTAAGTCACCATCCTCTCTTACCCTAGAACCAAGAGGCCACAGTGGAACCAAATCTATCTGCTCAGGACAAACACTGCCTTGATTCAGGAGGAAATTATTTCCAAGAATAAATGAAGTAGGAATTCATTCCAACATATGCTTATGATTCTGCTCTTCTTTCAGAAAGCAAGATGAGAAACTTGAGAAAAGGATCCTTAGCTCCTAAAAACAGTGAAAATATCTCATCCAAAGAACACGAATTCAGGGCTGGAGAGATGGCTCAGTGGTTAAGAGCACAGACTGCTCTTGCAGAGGACCCAGGTTCGATTCCCAGCATCTACATGGTGGCTAACAACCATCCATAACTCCAGTTCCAGGGAATCAGATGCCTTCTTCTGATCTCTGTGGGCATTGCACAACACGGGTCCACTTACACACATGCAGGCAATACACTCATACACATAAAATAAAAATAACAAATAAAATATTTTTTTTAAAAAAAAGAACATGAATTCAAAGCTCTAGGAGATCTCTCTACAGTTTAAGAATTAGCAGCCTTTGGGCTGGAGAGATGGCTCAGCAGTTAACAGCACTGGCTGCTCTTGCAGAGGACCCAGGTTTGGTTCCTAGCACCCACATGGTGGCTAACAACTGTCCGTAATCCTGTTCCAGGGGTCTTCTGACACCTTTTTCTGGCTTCCTTGGGCCCTTTATGCATGTGGTTCACTTACATACATGCAGGCAAAACACTTATATACACACACCAAAAAAGGGGGGCAGGAAGCAGTCACAACAAGCCAAGCAATCACTATACAATTTCTGGCAGCCTCAAGCACAGTTGTCTCTACAAACACACACACAGTACTGGTACTGCTTATAGTGTGAGGGCGGTGTTTTAACAGGACACTATCACTTCAGATCATGTAGCCGAAGTCCAGGTGAGCTGTCAAGATAAAAATGCCACCTGAGTGTCTTTGCTATGTTACACTGGCACTTCCAGATGCTGCACTGTAGGTGCCAATTTACTTGTGATTTGTACCTCTTCCCCCAGGCTAAGCCTGTGGGCTCTGGAGCACAGGAACTCTGACCTGGGTATCTTTATTCCACAAGGCCCCTGTTTACCAATATATGCACACTCGGAAGGACGCTGCTGTAACCACCTGCAGCTGAAGGGCATTGCCATCATGTCAAGGTCAGTCTACTTTCTCCTATGGCTACTTTAGGCTTTTCCCAGAGAAAAACTACAGAAAGCTCCAATAGTTTACTGTTCACACAGACCGTCTCCAAGTTAGCATACAGTGAATGACTAACTGGCTGTTATCTTATCAGGGATGCTAATATCCACTCAATCACCCAACCCAGGAAACCCAGGATATCACATTCCATTTCCTGGAGTAATTTATATTCTCTCTACACACTGAACATGGATGAGTTCAGACCAACAGACCCCAGACCAAAATATTTAACTCTTTGTTTATTTGGTGGTTTTTTGTTTTTGTTTTTGTTTTGTTTGAGACAGGGTCTTACTGTGTAGCCCCAGCTAGCTTGGAACTCATTATGTAGACCTTCCCAGGTAGGTCTCCATCTCACAGAGATCACCTGCCTCTGCTAGGATTAAAGGCATGCACCACACCGACCTTCATTTCACTCATTTTTACACCTATGTTGAAATGAGTTGTAATATACACGTGTCTCTCTATCCACCAAGCCATTGCATTTGCACTTGAACGTCAAATGTGACATGTACTAGTGAAAAAATTCAAGCACAAAAGTATTCTTTTGTGTTCTAGAGGGCATTAAGATTAGGGCCAGCTCACTGCCACACACACCCCCAGCTGCCCATCTGCGTACACCAGCAAATCCTCCACACATGCCCACCACATGCAGATGCCTCAGAGGTCCTCAAGACCCATCACTGTTCAACTCAAAATATTCACAGCCAGGAAATATTCAAGGTCTGCCGCAATAGCAAGGCTCTCACAATCTGCCCTTGGTCTCTGACAGTCTGACACAGCGCCTATCAGTTGTCCTTCTGCTAATGATGACAAGAAACATAAATAGAGTAGATACCATTTTCATTCTTTTAAGTGTGGTAGCATACCTTGGTCTTCTCTGTGACAACGCTTATAAAGTGCAAACTTGGCCGGGCTCTCAGTCACGAGAAACTTCTTGAGCAGGGCCTCAATCACTTCTCCCACGGTGTTTGTGCTGCTGATGTGAAGTGTGTTCATACAGCCGTTGCTACTGGGTGAGAGTTTCCCAGGGTTGGGAGGAGTCTGGGAAGGTTTGCAGAGTTCCATCTGCACTTTAATGAAGCCAGTGTAAATCCCATTTGAATTCTGAAGAAGGGAGAAAGATCACATTTAGCTGGTGGTTGGCACTGTAGAGGAAAGGGTATAGCTAAGCCAAACAGGAAGGTGAACAGCTTTCTCCTGCTCTTCTCTCTACAAGAACTTCACTGAAGATTGTCCCAAAAGAATACTGTAGTGGGGGGCTAGCACACCACAGTCAGAGTCTGCAGGGCAGATGCAGCAGAGGTGGGCATTGCCTTCTGCAGCATGCTTATAACCCTAAGACGCCAGCCCCCAAAGCTTCATGTGAAGGGTCAGCACCCATGCGAGAGGTCACAGTCCTATATAGTAGATGCCAGCCAAACCATAGCTGTGTTAAAGCCTGGGGGATGTGTCTCAATGTTCAACATCCCCCGGTGATAAACTGCCATTCCATAAAAAAGAAAGGTCACAATGAGGGCTCCAGAATACCTAAGTCAACAATGAGTTGACAGTAAGAAAACAAACTGGTTTTACTCCTGGTGGCAATGAGGATATAGATGAGATGACCAATTCTGCTTCAATTCTGTTAAACATGTTATTACATAGCATGGGATGCATTTCGGGCACTTCTAAGGCATATCCAAGCTGATATGTGAATTAGATATTACTTAATACAAACACTTGTCTTGAGTCATGGTAGGATTACTCTTACTTAGCTGTCATAATAGTAATGATGGTTTTTACTTTTCTTTCTTTTTTAAAAATATTTTATTTCTTATTTTTATGTGTATGAGCATATTGCCCCATGTAAGTACACCGGTGTCATGCAATGCTCACAGAAGTCAGAAGAGGGAGTTGGATCCCCTGAAACTGGAGTTACAGATGATTTGTTAGCAACCTAGTGGGTGCTGGGAATCAAACCTGGGTCCTCTGCGTGAGCAGTCAGTGTTCTTAACCACTGAGCCATTTCTCTAGCCCCTGCTTTCACTTTTCTAAGAAAAAAACTGTTGTCATGTTTTATTAAAACAAATCATCAGGTGTCATATATAAATACAATGAGGGAGAACATTAAAAACTTCCTTATGGTCCATTATTTTTCTTCCTTTCTACAAATCAATTTACAATTCCTCTGTTCATTCCTGTAGGGGAAAAAACAGTTTTGTACAAAGTATTTTGAAACAATTGGAAACTTGCATCAGTTTTAGTCTCAATGGAGTACAGGAACAATGGCAAACAGAATTTTTCTCCTTTAATGAAATCTCAGGAGCTGGAGAGATGGCTCAGCGGTTAAGAGCACTTGCTGCTCACTCATAAGGACCCAGCACCCACGTTGAGCAGCTCACAAACACCTGTGACTCCAACTCTAAAGGATCCAACACCTTCTTCTGATCTCTACAGACACCCACACTTACAGAGACACTCGGGCACGTACACATAAATAAAAATTTTAAAAAAGAAATATCACAGGTGAAATAATAAAAAAGAGGATTACCGGCTCCTGTCTCTCCTTGAGGGCACAGGGTCACTGGAGAGATCTTTTAGCACAAGGTTTGTATTTAAAAGCTCCAGCCCATGGGTCACAAAATTTACTTGGGCCTACTTTAAACAGGTTACTCTTTCCTTTAAAGATATCTGTCAATTCACACATAATAGACTAACAGGCAGAGGTCCAGGGCCCTGGAAAATGGCACCAAAGGAGTTGCAGTGAAGGTCGCCAAATGGGTGGGTAATAGCTTGTTCAATTCTGAGTAACAAGAAGACTATAGCTTTGCTGTCAACTCATTTCACAGCCTCTAAACCCTGACCCTCCTCCCTCCTATACCTCCACACCCCTCTGCACTTCACAATGCTGTTGATGCCTTTAATATAAGCACTTTGCAGGAAGGAAGCTGAATGCTATGTACTTACACGGACAATTGGGAGAAAAATCTTAGTTCAACTCTATTCCAATCTATGGGTATAAAATCTTTCAGATACTTCAATATTTATTTTGCACCAGACAGAAATCAACAGTCTTGATTAGAATCTGAGTCATTATGAATATGTTACACAACACTAAAAATCCCTTAGCAAGGAAGAATCACAAAATAAAATGTTAAAGCATTTCACTTAAAATTAATTTTTTTCATGGTAAGTACACCTGTGTGTGCAATGCCCATGAATGCCAGAAAAGTGTCATATCCCTTGAAACTGGAATTACAGACTGTTGTTAGATGCCATGTCGGTGCTGTAGAGTGAATCTGGGCCTCTGGGAGAGCAGCTAGTGCTCTTAACCGCTGAGCCATCTCTCCAGCCCCAGGCATTTCACTTAAGACCACTAGACTGCTCTTGCAGAGGACCTAAGTTCAATTCCCAGCACCCACATGGTGGCTACAAACCGTACTTAACTCCAGGGGAATCCAAAAACCCTCTTCTGACCTCCGAGGCATTGCACAACATGGGTGCACTCACATACATGCAGGCAATACACTCATACACATAAAATAAAAATAATAAAATAGTTTTTAAAAAATTGGGGTATATATGTATGTGCAAAATATATATATATGGGCACTTGTGCCACGGTGTACATGTGGAGGTCAGAGGACAACTCTGTGGAGTTGGTTCTTTTCTTTCACCTTTACATGGATTCTGGAGCATGAACTCAGATCATAAGGCTCATGTAGCAAACACCTTTACCCTCTGAGCTATCTCACCAGCCCAAACTCCACATTTTTTTAAGGACTTTTTAAAGATTTATTTTATGTGGACATCAGATAGACAGTTGTGAGCTGCCAAGTAGGTGCTGGGAACCAAACCCAGGTCCTCTGCAAAAGCAGCCAGTGCTCTTAACCACTAAGTCAGCACTCAAGCCCTGAATTTCACATTGTTTTTTAAAAATTAACATAATCACTGATTTTTCAACCTTGGGTACTTCAAAATACAGATGTAATATACACATTGTACTATCACTTGCTTGCATTTTTCTTTTAAAAATTTATTTTGTGTGTGGGTGTATGGTGCATATGAAGTAAGTGCATATGTGCTACAAAATGCTTGGGGAGGTCAGAGAACAACTTTCAGAAGTTGGTTCTTGCCTTCCACCTTGAGGCAGAGTCTCTGAACATCAACCAGTTAGGGACACTTACCAAGGTCATCTTTAATTTGTCTGTGACAGCTGAATTGTATTTATGAACTTTCTCTTTGATTTCCTCTCTGCTGAGGTAATTGTGAATTTCCTTCTCTTTCTCCACATCCTAGAAGAAAAACAAGCCATAACACACATGAGTGTTCATTAAAAAAAAAAAAAAAAGTAGATAAACCAAGATTCTTCTATATTCCACCAAAGAGCAACCTGGTACACTTTACCTTGAAACCTGCACACATACCACCCAACCTTATTTTCAAATGCACCAGGCTCATTCACCAGATGTGTTTCTCATTCCTCAGACTATAATCTTTGTAGAGGATATATCAAATAAAATTAGTCTGTCAGCAGCTAAAGACATCACTTCATTAAATATTATTTTGCAAAGCTGTCTGCTATATTTTCTGCAAAAAATCCTTCCCCAGAGTGCTTGCTGTTGGACATTTCTACTTCAAACAAAATTTATTTTTTGTTTATTTTATTTATTTATCTTTTGAGATAGGCTTTCACTACGTAGCCCTACCTGGCCTCAAACTCACAGAGAACACCTGCCTCTGCCTCTCCAAGTGCAAAAATTAAAGGTGTGTACCACCATACCCAGTTTCAAACAATATTTAAAGACACATATCAAAAGCTTCTCATTACACATTCTATTACTGTTTTGGTTTCTATAACTTTACAGTATTTATTAGTATAAAGTACAGTAGGCAATAAATTCTAATTAACCAGCACTAATCACTATGTACAATTACCAGACGGTAATTTACTTTCCAAACAATCCCCATGCCAAGAAAAAAGTGGCCACACTTCCTCTACCCCGACCCTGTCTACCTCTCCCCACACTCCAGACTCTTCTGCCTTTATGCCTCCACCTCAACTTGGAGAGGAAAACAGTGGTTAAATTCCTTCATCATTCTTTAGAAATCATTAGTAGTTTATTATCTCAAGACTTCAACCAGCACATGGCATTACATAGGAGCAGCCACATTGTTACAAGGAGCCAAACTGCAGTATTTGGCTAGTCAATTACACCAGGGACCTAACTCTAATCACATTTAATTCTCCTAACAAACCAACAAAATTGGCATTGTTACCCCAGTATCCAGGTAAGATCAAGTTCTAGGAAGTAAATTAACCTGCTGGAAGAAACTTAACTGGCTGCCTGATCCCAAAGCCCAGCAGCTCTCACTAGTTCAACTATTTGGCAACATCTAAGCTTCTCCACATGGATGCTTCCATTTAATCCTCCTCAAATGAGCTAACTAGATGCTCTGTGGTACAGATAAGAAGCACGAGAGATGCACAGTTAAGTGGCTGTTCCCAGGATGACTCCACTAGTTACCAGACCAAGTTTCATTTTCATCTATGTCCTTGATGTCATTCCTACCAAACTGAATAGGTCTCCACGGCTCTGGTGTAGACAAACGTGAAGAAAGTCTATATAATCAGATTCAAACTTAAGTAGTGACTCAGAAAAGATAAAGGACCTAAACATCTTCAAGAGTTAGAGAGGAAGGGCAATTAAAATCTGATGATTTATCCCCAAAAAAGAAAGTCTGAAAATATGCCTCTTCCAGCCTGACAGAGCTCACCATCCTCACAGCTGGATATTCTTCAAGCAGACAGGCGCTCCCACTGAGTGATCTGTGGGATAGTGGAATAGCCACTCCAGAGCCTGCAGGAATGCCACCTATGCTATAAAAGGGCTCTGGAGCCAGAGTCTCAAGTTCTTTGATTTTAAAGCCTAAGCAGTGTGGTAGATATAAGCTGCCTTAGTTTTATATTTGCTGTTACTGTGGGTTCTCAGTTTCAGCACTACTCTGGCAAAGTCTCAAGGGTTAGTACATCTGGCAACACTGGGGAAAGATCAGCACAGATAATATGCACAGATAATACACTTGGTCTCTTCCCTAGCTCCATGGGCAGGCCCAAAGCCCTTTGGGAACACTGTCATTACCAGTGTAACTCCCAAAGCAGTTTTATATTTGGTGTTACTATGGGTTAAAATAACTTTTCAATAGAAAGCTTCCAAGGAAATCTAAAACATGTAACCATATCTCTCCTTTCTCTGCTCATTCCAATCTATAACTAGCGAGCTACTGACCACAGGAAAACCAGGTAGCCTTCATCAACACATTCCATTAAAAAAAATTCTTTATCGGGACTGGGGAGATGGCTCAGTGGTTAAGAGCACTAGCTGCTCTTGCAGAGGACCCAGGTTTGATTCCCAGCACCCACATGGCAGCTAAACAATCGTCTGTAATTCCAGTTCCAGGGAATCTTTTGACTTCCATGGGCATTGCATGACATAAGTGCACTTACATACATGCAGGCCATACATTCATATACATTAAAAATAAATTAAAAATACACTTTATTATTTTTATTTTATGTGCACGAATGTTTGGCCTGCATGTATGTAAGTGCACCATGTGCATGCTGTGCCCATGGAGGCCAGAAGAGGGCATCAAGTTCCCTGGAACTGGAATTACAGACGATTGTTTAGCTGCCATGTGGGTGCTGGGAATCAAACCTGGGTCCTCTGCAAGAGCCACCAATGCTCTTAACCCCTGAGCCATCTCTCCAGCTCCTACACATCCAATTTTTAAGTAATAGCTGTCCAAGGACATACCCCCCTCCATAAGACACCAAAATGCTCACATCATTTATATAAAATGACACAGGATTTCATAAAAACTGCACACCTGTTCCCATACAGTTTAAATACTCTTTAGATTACTTATAATACCTATTGCACTATAAGTGCTCTGCAAACAGTTGTCACCAATTGTATAGGTAATAATAGCAAGAAAAAAATCTGTACATGTTCATACAGATTACAACTGGTTGATTAAATACACAGATACAAACCCCATAGGTATAGAGGGAAGACTATTCTAAAGAGAGTAAGAGTTGAATAGCCCAGAATGGTGGCGCAGGCCTATAATCCCTTTTTTGGCCTCTGTGGCATCGCACACATGTGGTACCCTTACATACATGCAGGCAAAACACATAAAATAGAATCAAAATTTTTTTTAAAAGAAAGAGACTCACTTGTCTGCCTACCTAGGAAAAGATGCCTCTAAACCCATGAATATCCATAAAACCCACAGGAAAGACAGAGAGGAGACAATGTAACCCAGAAGGGACAAGGTGCAAAAATAAAGGGCTAAGCAAGGAGAGGGTTAAGCAATGGTGTGGCAGGCTTGGCACTGAGCTAAGTATAAACAGCACTCTCTCACTGCAGGGCAAGAGAGGAAATGGCAGGGGCACAGTGGCCTGTGAATAATACATGGTTATTGCTCTTGGCAGCCAGGGAGGGGCTGCTGCCACGCCCAAGAGTGTCTGCTGGGCAGGTTATAAATCATCTTTGTCTAAAGTCACAGGGAGAATTGTGCCATGCAAAATTCCAACCCTAGACTCGTCCCTGGCGTTTCAGCCAGTGTGCCCCAAGAGCCACTCTTGGGTCAGCCTCACTTTCTGGGTGGGACCACATCTGCCACCTGTGGCTCATTCCCATAGGCTCATGAGTTAGGCTTTCCAGGAACAGACCCCTAGTCTGAGTGAGGTCTGAGAATCACTTAGACTTTTCTGAAGCTAAATCAAAATTAAGAACACAATTCAACAAAAAAACTCAAATAAAGAGAAATTCAGTGACTTCAAAAAGGGAGTTAAGTAAGGCTGGAGAGAGGATTCAGTAGAGTACTGGCTACCCTTGCAGAGGACCCAGGTTCCGTTCCCAGCACCCATGTGGTAAATAACAACTATCTATAACTCCAATTCTAGGTGATACAACACCCTCTTCTGGCCTCTGTGGGCACCAGACACACATATGGTGCACCTATGGTGAAGGCAGAACATTCATACACAAGAAATTTTCTTTTAAAAAGAGGGAGTAAGGAGATGAATATGCACCTATCACTCCCTGTACTTAGTCTAATGAAGGAATATGGACTATGGTTTAGCCATACTTAGGTCGGAAATCACAGCTCTGTCACATGCTACCTGTGTGACCAGAGGAAAGATATGCACCTCTCTGTGGAATAGTAGGAATTATGAATTCCTACTATTCATTTTATGTCCAGTTCTTGTTTTTCCTATCTCTGTGAAATATGCAAAATAATACCTACTTTATAGAACTGTGAGAAGACATAATACAAGTCATCATTCAATAACTATTTATTGAGTGCCTGCTGGTGCCAGGCTCTGTGCCAAGCACTGCAAAATGGGAAAGGCAGTTGTCTCTGCCTTTCTGCCTCTTGGCTGACATCCTGGTAAAGTCTGCTTTCCCCTCGCCCCATCCACTTGTGCATGTTTGAGTTTTTTCATTTGGTATCTCAGACCTCCTTAAGACACAAAGCAGGACAGGGGTGGAGGTCACTAGGAGAGCACTTGCCTGGGATATCTGAAGTCTTGGGTTCAAGCCCTCCCACCTCAAAAACAAAAAAACTTTCAAAAAAGAGGGGCTGCAGAAATGGCTCAGTAAGTGGGTTGCCATGTCATTGTAAGGACCAGAGTTTGAATCCCCAGAACCCATATAAAGTTGGGCACAGTAGCACACGCCTGCAACCCCAGTAGTCCTACATGAAATGGTGGCAGAGGCAAAAGAACCCCTGGGAGCCGGCAGGCCAGCTAGTCTGGAGTATGCAGCAGTCAACAACAAAGAGATCCTGTCTCAAAGCAAGGTAGAAGGACGGACACCGGGGGTTGTCCTCTGACCTCTAAACTCGTGACACTGCAGGCACACACACTCAGACACAAATGTGCACATACATGATCACACATCATATACACACACAAACTGATGAATTAAGCAACGAAAAGGGAGGTAGGGGAGGCAAATAAGTTAATGACCTTCCTCTCAGGGTGCTGGGGAACAAAAAGCATAGATTTTCTGTAAGGAATGACAGGTAAACAGTGCAGGATTCCAGTACCCTTTCCTTGGGAATCCTCTGGCTCCCAGGCACAATTGCTCTGACAGCTGGCCAGGTTTGGATCCAGCTTGCATCAGCAGAGAATAAACTTAACCAGGCCAATAGGTGCTGTCTCCAGACTAGACCCTGAAATTATGAATTCCTACTATTCATTTTATATCCAGTTCTAGAAACA